TACGATCAGCAGAACAAACAGCTGCATCGCGAACTGGCCAAGGAGAAGCGCCGGCGCACCGAGGAGCTGGCCTGTGTGGTCAAGTCCCTGATCTGCTTTGAGTCCAAGCTAAAGAATGACATGAAGACGGTCAATCAGCGTCTGCTGGATCGGGATGCCGAAATCTGTCGCCTCTTGCGCCAGAATCGTGCGCTACGCAAGCGTCTGGTTGATCATCAGCGGGATGAGGGCATGGTTGCCGACCAAGAGACCAATGCCGACGAGGAGGAGCATGTGGAGGAATGCTTAGTGCTCGAGGCTTTGCAATGCAACAATTGCCGCAAGCAATTCTATGACATTGAGCTGAGAGCCTGCGGCACACAGACCTGTGGCAAGGAACTGGGCGTCAGCGCCAAAGGTGAGTTACGCAAAATAGTCGAATTATTGAGATAGGAACGAAAAGTGATAAAAAGTGAATACCCAAGAGACAAAAAAAATATATATAAGTATATATAACATTCTTAGTTTCAACTCAAATACAACGAAAAGTCAATAATTTAATTAGGATTCTTGTCAGTAACAAGTTAGGATTGCAAAGAACCTTTTTGCATAGGAATTTGATCTAAACGACGAATTAAGAAACCAAATTTTTCAAATCGACTAAATAAGTTCGAACCACCGACCATTTTCTGGGGTTTTTAGCCCTGAATAGTACACCTAATTCTATATTCTATATATTTATATAATTTATTTCGGAACTATGGCAACTCTGTTCACAGCTTGACGTGAGTTTCGTGTAGTGATTCCTTTCACGCTCCCATCTCTAAGCAATCTTTTGTCCTTGTTCCATAATATATTAATTTTCTCTCCCTACCGTTCTCTCCAATGCAGCTGAGCACGGCTCTTCCAGCGATGACACTGTCTCATCGTCGTTTTATGGCGCCAGGCGCAGTGTGCGCTACACGAGCAAACGAACGGCGGGCACGTTTAGGGATTACATGCGCTCCCGGGCGATGCACATTGATGATGCGGCACTGGAGCAGCAGTCGGAGGAGAATACGAGCAGCATCAGTCGCGAGGACTCGCAAACCAGCTACGAGCAGCTGCACAATTATGCCAGAGCCATGGAACGCATGCACGGCGTGAAGGCAACGCTCCAGGATGGCGACTATTCCGAGCACAGCAGCTTGGAGCTGGAGCAGCAGCAGCAGCAACGGAGGCGCAACAGTTCCGCCTCCAGTCGCAGCAGCAAGACGGCCTCCTCGGTGGCGGCACAGTTGGAGGAGGACGATGGCATCTTTTCGCCCACGCAGGATGATGAGGATTTCGATGAACTAGATCCGGAGCAGGAGCAACAGCTTATGTCACGTGGCGCTATCAAAATTGTGCAGCGACGCTGTGCGGATTTCTCCGAGGCGTCACCCAAACAAATCTATGAGACGACCACAGATGATTGGTATGCCAGCGCCTCGGATCAGGAGGAGCTGAGCACAGCGCCGGCGGTGGCCAAACCCTATGGCCAGGGCGCCGTCAATCCCGTGCTGGAGTGCGTCAATCAAATACTGCTGCAACAGTCCATGGAGGAGACATTACGAGAGCCCACCACGCCCAAGTCGGCCCTGGCGCCAAAAGCGGCTGCCAATCTGCCGCGACGCAGCTCGCTGAGCGGCCGCAGCGGCACAAATGGACGCAAGCGGGTGCATTTTTCCACCAAAAACAGCATGGTGCATGTGCCCCGGCACGAGGATGAAGAGGAACAACACAACGACGAACTGATCTCACACTATCATCCAATGGCAGCGGCGGCACCCGCTGCATCCGGTGATACCCTTAACTACGAGAGCATCTACAGCAATGAGTACGAGCCGATTGGTTCCGAGCGCGCCTCGAATCTCTATGTGGACATGGCGGCCGCGGCAGCGGATAACAATGCCAGCAGCGCAAAGACGCCACAGAAATTGCCACCCGCACTGCCGCCAAAGCCGGCGAATCTGCTCAAGTTCAAAAAGTCGTTGCATCAGCTGGAGGAGCAGCTGGAGGACGAGGGCGATTGTGCAGTGTCCACGACAACGACAACGACCAGCGAGCCGGACTACTGTTCCATAGCCGAGGTGGGCGTGACGAGCGTACAAATTGTCGCCGATGTGCATAAGGCGCCCGAATCGACCGAATCGCCAACAGAACCGGAACGGGAACTGGAACTGGAACAGGATGATGATGCCTGCTCGGCAGCCGCCTCGCACAAGACTGAGGAAATCGAAGAGATTTTCGCCGACATACCAAAGCTACCAAATGTGGCGGCCATCATAGCGCCCAAGCAATCCGCCGACTATCTGCTGATGGCGCCCAAAACGCTGCGCCTCCAGCTGCCGCCCAGCACGACCAATGCACAGACCATGCCGTCCCAGTACAAGCGCAAGCATGTGCCCAATATACTGGCCGAGATCAACAAGCGCATGAGCTTGCCCAGTTCACCAACCACGCCCACCACGCCCAAAAGCTTGCCCACAACGCCCACATCTAAATCGCTGCTGCAGCTGGCGGACGCAAGCGGCGGCCTCCCGCTGCAGGCCGAATTCGATTGGTATAATCTGGACGCAGAGTATGACAGAAGCAGCGAGGCGCCGAAGATATCGGCAGGCGAGGGCATGCTAGCGGAGATCAGTGAGGACGACAATGAGTGCTTGGTTACGGCGGCGGATGAATACAATCTGGACGAGGAGTTTCAGCTACAGCCCGAGCAGGAGGAGCAGCAAATGGAAGAAGTGGAGGAGGAAGAGAAGCCTATTAAGCCAGAGCCCGCCAAGGCCAAACAGATGAAAAAGAATCTGGCCAGTTTCGAGAAATTCATCGAGGGCTCAGGCCTGAGCACCAAACCCTTGCCGAGCAAACGCAAGATTTACTTCAATGCGCCGTTCGTCTAGATCGCCAGTTCCCTAGATGTACTTATCTTAGGTATATCCAACCGACACTATATTATGTTTACAACGAATTTAAGTTTATTGTGTGCTTATGCTTTTTTTATGTGTTCCGCCTTTTTGTTTAGTTTTTTAGGTTTGCAAAGTATTAAAATGTTTAGAGAATTTTCACATGAATAAAAGCAAATATAATACAAATAAAATAAATAATAATAAAGAATGGTATAAAAATCGAAAGGCTATATGCTTGAATCTCGCTGATCTATCATCAGCAGATTTTACTGCCGACTCCAGATTTGCAAGGCCTTGTCCTCAGTCCGAACCTTTAACCACTTGGGAATTACAAGCAACAACAAAGCTAACAAGACCTAAGCCTAGTCTCTTTACCATATGTGTACCCCCCCGCAGCATGCGCTCCTTATCATCAATACAATGGCCAATAGTTTGTATACAGAGAGTATCTATCTATCTATCTATATGCATGCATGTATGTATGTGTATCTATTGCATGTACATATGTATATATGTGTGTACATATATATTAACGTAATAATTAGCGTACATATGTATTTACGTATGTATGTATGTAAGTATGTATGTATGTACGTATGTATGTATATATGTATGTTCGTATGTATGTATGTGTGTATGTACGTACGTATGTGTGTGTACGTAAGTTTGTACTTAAGTATGTATGTATCTATGTGCGCATATATCTTCTTTTGTATATACATATATATTTACATATGTATGTACATATGTGTGTATTAATGTATGTATGTTCGTATTTATGAACAAACGTAAGTACCTAGGCATGCACGTATGTATGTGTGTATACAACTACGTATGTATGTATTATGTAGAGTGCATTTATGTATCTCAGCATATATGTGTGCAGTTGGTATGTAATAATGTAATGTATGTTTGTATGAATGTATTTTTGCATATAGGAGTTTATGTATGTGTGAATGCATGTTTATATTATGATGCATTTATATGTACTTGCATGCATATATTTTGTATGTTTATATGCAATACCAAATTTACCTCAAGCTGCGCTGGAAATTCAAAAAATTACGTACTCTTAACAAATGCTCTCCTACGCGATTCTCATGAATTCAAGTAAGTCTTATATATTGGAGGAGGCGGCAGCTAGGCAGTGGTGGAGACGGCGCCTTGAACAAAGGAGGAGACGGCGCCTTGAGCGAAGGAGGAGGCGGCTTCAACTATGTAGGAGGAGGCTTCATCAAAGAAGAAGGCGACGGCCTCAACTATAAAGAAGGCGGCGGCTTGAGCAAAGAAGGGAACGGCATCAACTAAGCAGGACGAGGTTGCTTAAGCAAAGGATGAGGCGACTGTTGTAACTATGGAGGAAACGACTGTTTGAGCAAAAAAGGAAGCGGCGGCCTCAACTATGAAGAAGGCGGCGGCTTTAAATGTAGACGACAACGGCTTGAGCAAAGAAGAATACGGCGTCTTGAGGAAATGAGGCTTCAACAAAGGGCGAGACGGCAGCTTCAACTATGATGAATCAATTTTAAATATCGCCAGTGACAAAACTGGTAAATAATATGAACATAACTAGGCCTTTTTTTTTTTAAATAAAACAAACAATTGTAGCAGTAGTATGTACGCATGTTGGATTGTATACTCATAACTAGCATACTGCTCATATAATAATATAGCGCATCCTTTCTTCCAAATAAAAGTTGTCATGAAACTAATACGAGCAGTAGAATTTTTATGAATTTTTATGTTCCAAAGCAGTTCCTATTACCCTTGGAAGAGAATATTTCTTTGATAAATCTTTTTTAAAATATATTTTTTTAAAATATATTTGTTCCTTGCCTTTTCTTTCTCCCTTTATATCACTTTTCCGTATTATTTTCATTGGGAGTGTATGTAAAACGCTAACAAATTGGATTTTTTTAGTAGCACTGTTTTTATATGTAACCGTAGAAACGAATGTAAGCAAGTAACCCTTATTGTGTGTGAAAAGGCAATTAAGACCTCTGCATAGTCTGTAGTCCAGCAGTCTCGACTTGAGTTATCTTTTCGATAAGCATAAGTCAGTTAAAACAACAATAATTATTGACAACGTTAACTAGCTGATGTTTTATTCATCACTGAGATTATATTGTGCAAAAATACAGGCGGTGCATTTGCTTGTCTTGTACATTCAGAGAAAGGAACACACATGGGACTTATACAAAAAGCAGCCCACATTCAATAAGTTGCCGTTGAGCAAATGAAGCAGAATCGGGCAATAAATTAGCTACACAAAAGCTTAAATCAAACTTAAAAATTAATACTTTTACTTATGCAGCTTATGACTATGAATTCAATTTGAATTTAATGAAAATGTGATTAATACAAGCTGGTCTTCTTCATAATACGCAGAAACTCCTCCTGATTGACTTCGCCATCGTTGTCCAGATCGGCCTCATCGATCATTTCCCGCAACTCCTCGTCCGTAAGGGTTTCGCCGAGTTCCCGAGCGACTCGTTTCAGATTTTTAAATGAGATCTTGCCCGTTTCGTCGTCATCGAACAAGCGAAACGCTTTCAGAATCTCCTCTTTGGTATCCTTTTCGGCCATTTTCATGGTCATCAGATGTAGAAAGTCATTGAACGCAATGCGACCGCTGCCATCCTTATCGATTTCTGCTATCATCCGTTTGATTTCCTCCTTTTTGGGCTCGAAACCCAAGGCGCGTATGGCCACCTTCAGCTCCTTGACCTCAATGTAGCCGGTGCACTCGTTGTCAAATAAATCAAACGCCTCCTTAATATCCGATTTCTGTGCCTCGGTTAGCTCAAACTTGGGTCCAGACTTTTTGCGTCCTTGTTGCGTGCCGCGTTTGGTATTTGGCGCCGTTGCCGCCGCCGTGACTGCAGCTGGAGCCGCAGCTACGTTGACTGCAGTTACGTTTGGCTCCATATTTGTTTCTAAAATCTGATAAGTTTAAATCAATTTCACAATCAAGTTTTTGTGGCTTCGATAGGCCTTCAATAAACGTAATTTCATAACACACGCAAATGTCAAATGGAGACGTCACGCGGCCGCTTCGCTCGCTGCTCACCTTGACTTTGACGGGACTTTGCGATGGGCTCGCTACGGCAACTATAAATCGTGTATCCTTGCACTTGCGGCCGCGGCCAATTACGACGCCTACTCACAACTACTCGTTGGTCGGGTTGGGTTGTTTTGGGTTGGGGTAGTAGGTTGCTTGTTGTTGTTGTTGTTGTTGCTATGGTGCTATAAATAAACAGCTGCAATATCCGTTGCGGCTGCTCGTGTTACTCTGCGCTACGCAACTTGTTTGTTTTCACCTGCTTGGCATCTGCCGTCATGTGCTTTGTCCCGGGACGCCACTTTACCACATATATATTACTTTACAACAATTATTTGTTTACCAGCAGCAGTAAGGGTAGCAGCTGCATACAGGTTGCCCCACAGCTATCGATACAATTTTGTGCGATAACAGTGTGGCGGCTAAACGATAGTCACACGCGACACGCGCTTGGCCAATTTTAGTGCATTTCAAAAGCTGTGCTTTGAGTAACGGCTATTCAAATTCATAACGACCGAACAAACTAATAAGCCAGCGCTAAGATAAAATGACTATGGGGGTGGTAAATTTTGACCCATGTCTATATACGAATCTTGGGGTAAGATTTGGACATGAATTTCGACCAAAAAATCGGTGTCGAGATTTGAATGCCAGATTAATCTAGGTGGAAAACCATGAAGAAAAATCTAAACTTCGAGAAAATCGGATGAGATTTGGCCGAGATATGGGGGTGGTAAATTTTGACCCATGTCTATATACGAATCTTGGGTAAGATTTGGACATGAATTTCGACTAAAAAATCGGTGTCGAGATTTGAATGCCACATTAATCTAGAGGGAAAACCATGAAGAAAAAGCCAAACTTCGTGAAAATCGGATGAGATTTGGCCGAGATATGGGGGTTGTAATTTTTGACCCATGGGTATATACGAATCTTGGTAAGATTTGGACATGAATTTCGACCAAAAAATCGGTGTTTAGATTTGAATGCCACATTAATCTAGAGAAAAAACCATGAAGAAAAAGCCAAACTTCGTGAAAATCGGATGAGATTTGGCCGAGATATGGGGGTGGTAATTTTTGACCCATGCCTATATACGAATCTTGGGGTAAGATTTGGACATGAATTTCGACCAAAAAATCGGTGTCGAAATTTGAATGCCACATTAATCTAGAGGGAAACCCATGTAGAAAAATCCAAACTTCGAGAAAATCGGATGAGATTTGGCCGAGATATGGGGGTGGTAATTTTTGACCCATGCCTATATACGAATCTTGGGGTAAGATTTGGACATGAATTTCGACCAAAAAATCGGTGTCGAGATTTGAATGCCACATTAATCTAGAGGGAAAACCATGAAGAAAAAGCCAAACTTCGTGAAAATCGGATGAGATTTGGTCGAGATATGGGGGTGGTAATTTTTGACCCATGCCTATATACGAATCTTGGGGTAAGATTTGGACATGAATTTCGACTAAAAAATCGGTGTCGAGATTTGAATGCCAGATTAATCTAGAGGGAAAACCATGAAGAAAAAGGCAAACTTCGTGAAAATCGGATGAGATTTGGTCGAGATATGGGGGTGGTAATTTTTGACCCATGCCTATATACGAATCTTGGGGTAAGATTTGGACATGAATTTCGACTAAAAAATCGGTGTCGAGATTTGAATGCCAGATTAATCTAGAGGGAAAACCATGAAGAAAACGCCAAACTTCGTGAAAATCGGATGAGATTTGGCCGAGTTATGGGGGTGGTAATTTTTGACCCATGCCTATATACGAATCTTGGGGTAAGATTTGGACATGAATTTCGACCAAAAAATCGGTGTCGAGATTTGAATGCCACATTAATCTAGAGGGAAAACCATGAAGAAAAAGCCAAACTTCGTGAAAATCGGATGAGATTTGGTCGAGATATGGGGGTGGTAATTTTTGACCCATGCCTATATACGAATCTTGGGGTAAGATTTGGACATGAATTTCGACTAAAAAATCGGTGTCGAGATTTGAATGCCAGATTAATCTAGAGGGAAAACCATGAAGAAAAAGCCAAACTTCGTGAAAATCGGATGAGATTTGGTCGAGATATGGGGGTGGTAATTTTTGACCCATGCCTATATACGAATCTTGGGGTAAGATTTGGACATGAATTTCGATTAAAAAATCGGTGTCGAGATTTGAATGCCAGATTAATCTAGAGGGAAAACCATGAAGAAAACGCCAAACTTCGTGAAAATCGGATGAGATTTGGCCGAGTTATGGGGGTGGTAATTTTTGACCCATGCCTATATACGAATCTTGGGGTAAGATTTGGACATGAATTTCGACCAAAAAATCGGTGTCGAGATTTGAATGCCACATTAATCTAGAGGGAAAACCATGAAGAAAAAGCCAAACTTCATGAAAATCGGATGAGATTTGGCCGAGATATAGGGGTGGTAATTTTTGACCCATGCCTATATACGAATCTTGGGGTAAGATTTGGGCATGAATTTCGACAAAAAAATCGGTGTCGAGATTTGAATGCCACATTAATCTAGAGGGAAAACCATGAAGAAAAAGCCAAACTTCGTGAAAATCGGATGAGATTTGGCCGAGATATTGGGGTTGTAATTTTTGACCCATGGGTATATACGAATCTTGGGGTAAGATTTGGACATGAATTTCGACCAAAAAATCGGTGTTTAGATTTGAATGCCACATTAATCTAGAGAAAAAAACATGAAGAAAAAGCCAAACTTCGTGAAAATCGGATGAGATTTGGCCGAGATATGGGGGTGGTAATTTTTGACCCATGCCTATATACGAATCTTGGGGTAAGATTTGGACATGAATTTCGACCAAAAAATCGGTGTCGAGATTTGAATGCCACATTAATCTAGAGGGAAAACCATGAAGAAAAATCCAAACTTCGAGAAAATCGGATGAGATTTGGCCGAGATATGGGGGTGGTAATTTTTGACCCATGCCTATATACGAATCTTGGGGTAAGATTTGGACATGAATTTCGACCAAAAAATCGGTGTCGAGATTTGAATGCCACATTAATCTAGAGGGAAAACCATGAAGAAAAAGCCAAACTTCGTGAAAATCGGATGAGATTTGGTCGAGATATGGGGGTGGTAATTTTTGACCCATGCCTATATACGAATCTTGGGGTAAGATTTGGACATGAATTTCGACTAAAAAATCGGTGTCGAGATTTGAATGCCAGATTAATCTAGAGGGAAAACCATGAAGAAAAAGGCAAACTTCGTGAAAATCGGATGAGATTTGGTCGAGATATGGGGGTGGTAATTTTTGACCCATGCCTATATACGAATCTTGGGGTAAGATTTGGACATGAATTTCGACTAAAAAATCGGTGTCGAGATTTGAATGCCAGATTAATCTAGAGGGAAAACCATGAAGAAAACGCCAAACTTCGTGAAAATCGGATGAGATTTGGCCGAGTTATGGGGGTGGTAATTTTTGACCCATGCCTATATACGAATCTTGGGGTAAGATTTGGACATGAATTTCGACCAAAAAATCGGTGTCGAAATTTGAATGCCACATTAATCTAGAGGGAAACCCATGTAGAAAAATCCAAACTTCGAGAAAATCGGATGAGATTTGGCCGAGATATGGGGGTGGTAATTTTTGACCCATGCCTATATACGAATCTTGGGGTAAGATTTGGACATGAATTTCGACCAAAAAATCGGTGTCGAGATTTGAATGCCACATTAATCTAGAGGGAAAACCATGAAGAAAAAGCCAAACTTCGTGAAAATCGGATGAGATTTGGTCGAGATATGGGGGTGGTAATTTTTGACCCATGCCTATATACGAATCTTGGGGTAAGATTTGGACATGAATTTCGACTAAAAAATCGGTGTCGAGATTTGAATGCCAGATTAATCTAGAGGGAAAACCATGAAGAAAAAGGCAAACTTCGTGAAAATCGGATGAGATTTGGTCGAGATATGGGGGTGGTAATTTTTGACCCATGCCTATATACGAATCTTGGGGTAAGATTTGGACATGAATTTCGACTAAAAAATCGGTGTCGAGATTTGAATGCCAGATTAATCTAGAGGGAAAACCATGAAGAAAACGCCAAACTTCGTGAAAATCGGATGAGATTTGGCCGAGTTATGGGGGTGGTAATTTTTGACCCATGCCTATATACGAATCTTGGGGTAAGATTTGGACATGAATTTCGACCAAAAAATCGGTGTCGAGATTTGAATGCCACATTAATCTAGAGGGAAAACCATGAAGAAAAAGCCAAACTTCGTGAAAATCGGATGAGATTTGGTCGAGATATGGGGGTGGTAATTTTTGACCCATGCCTATATACGAATCTTGGGGTAAGATTTGGACATGAATTTCGACTAAAAAATCGGTGTCGAGATTTGAATGCCAGATTAATCTAGAGGGAAAACCATGAAGAAAAAGCCAAACTTCGTGAAAATCGGATGAGATTTGGTCGAGATATGGGGGTGGTAATTTTTGACCCATGCCTATATACGAATCTTGGGGTAAGATTTGGACATGAATTTCGATTAAAAAATCGGTGTCGAGATTTGAATGCCAGATTAATCTAGAGGGAAAACCATGAAGAAAACGCCAAACTTCGTGAAAATCGGATGAGATTTGGCCGAGTTATGGGGGTGGTAATTTTTGACCCATGCCTATATACGAATCTTGGGGTAAGATTTGGACATGAATTTCGACCAAAAAATCGGTGTCGAGATTTGAATGCCACATTAATCTAGAGGGAAAACCATGAAGAAAAAGCCAAACTTCGTGAAAATCGGATGAGATTTGGTCGAGATATGGGGGTGGTAATTTTTGACCCATGCCTATATACGAATCTTGGGGTAAGATTTGGACATGAATTTCGACTAAAAAATCGGTGTCGAGATTTGAATGCCAGATTAATCTAGAGGGAAAACCATGAAGAAAAAGGCAAACTTCGTGAAAATCGGATGAGATTTGGTCGAGATATGGGGGTGGTAATTTTTGACCCATGCCTATATACGAATCTTGGGGTAAGATTTGGACATGAATTTCGACTAAAAAATCGGTGTCGAGATTTGAATGCCAGATTAATCTAGAGGGAAAACCATGAAGAAAACGCCAAACTTCGTGAAAATCGGATGAGATTTGGCCGAGTTATGGGGGTGGTAATTTTTGACCCATGCCTATATACGAATCTTGGGGTAAGATTTGGACATGAATTTCGACCAAAAAATCGGTGTCGAGATTTGAATGCCACATTAATCTAGAGGGAAAACCATGAAGAAAAAGCCAAACTTCGTGAAAATCGGATGAGATTTGGTCGAGATATGGGGGTGGTAATTTTTGACCCATGCCTA